GTGAGTTGACGACGTACCGTGCTTCGCAGCCGAATACGCCGTCTGCGCCATGAAAAGCGAAGGCGAGACGACGCCAAAGATGGAAGCCACGTTGACGATGGCTCCTCGACCGCGTCTCACTCCAAGGTCCCTAGTCACAAATTCACATCAATACCAAACTCACCAAGAGTTCACCCAAGCGAATAACGTCGGAAGAAAAGAAAGATAGAAAAAAAACATACTCCTGCTCCAACATAACCCTAATCTCCTCCCTCTGACACCTCCACACCCCATACAAATCAACATCCACAATCCCGCCAAACTCCTCCTCGTCAACCTCGTGCGTCAATTCCCCCTTACCCGCGATCCCCGCATTATTCACAGCCACATCGAGGCGCCCGAACCGCGACACCGTCTCCGCGATGCCGGCTTTTATTTCAGTCGCATCGCGGACGTTCAAGGGCAGTGTCAGGACCTCGGTGGAGGGATACTTCTCGCTGAGGAGCGACTTCGTGGCCTCGAGGGCTTGAGTGTTGATGTCGGTTATGGCGAGGCGGGTGATGCCGTTTCGGGCGAAGGCGAGGGCTGTTTTTTGGCCGATGCCTGTTGTTTTGTATTTAACGTCAATATTTCTCTGTTAATAAGAGGAATTGAGTAGGATGTGCGGGAAAATGATGAATGTAGGTCTTTCTAAGTAAATGAATGGGAGTCAAACGTACCAGAAGCCGCGCCAGTGATGAAAGCCGCACCACGGAGAAGAGACGCCATAATATAATCTTGCTTGTTTCACTTTTACAAAACTCACATCTGACAACGGCGTTGAGTGCCTATATACGGGTTTATGAATGCTAATCCTGGGTGCCGACACTGGATGCGCGGATTACTGAGCAATCCGGAGTGTGCCAGCAATGCCAACTTATATGAAAAGTCCCAATGTAAATAAGTTCACGCACTTACACAGTACACCTAAACCAAAACCAAGAACGATTGATAAGACGGATGGACCGGTGAGACAAGCTGCTTCACTCCGCATACGCATCTCCATCTCATCGAGGAAACACGCGCAGCCATCTTTCCTCGGCGGTGGCATCGTCCAAGAAAGCGAGGCGGGAAGATCGCGGAGAAGCATACCCAGCGTAGCTTCCCGCGCGGGTCTATCCACACCACGGGATGAACCGCTCCCCGCAGGCCGCAGGATAAAGCAATACCCAGAGTGTTGGCACAACTTTGAGCTTCTATTGTTGGAGGTATCTGTCGAACCACCTCCTGTCACGTCATTCCCAAGTCCCCCTCTCTAATGAGGAGGTGGCATTGAGAGATCAAGATAGCGAAGGGTCGAGTGGGATGGAAGCTCCTTCGGTCAAGGATACTGTTGCGGCGCCCACCCGACGAGCACTCGCATTCCAAGTACGTCTTTATCTTTGGAAATGGTAGTTTGCTCCTTTGACGATATTCCCAAATGCTATCGCTGGACTATCAATTCGACTGAAAAAAGGAGTCATTCGCCACCGGTAATCTCTTCTTGACCCATACTACCTGATAAAACGGATTTAACCAGCCCTTTCGCACCCGCTGTTCCAACTATGGAAAGACAATGCTTGTGTCATGGGAATGACCCTCACAGCATACATTTACCAGCTTTTGGAAGTCAACACTCGTCGACTTTGTTTAGACCTTATGAAAGAAGTTCGACTCCAAGTCTCAGCATGCGGTCTGTTCAGCATGCAGCACGTCCAAGTTGAACCCAGCCAGAGAAAAGATATGGAAACCCTCCACTGGCGACTCTAAAGTCAACGCAATTAAAGATGCCAGACTCCATGCCCCGTCGTGCATAAAGAGTTATACCGCCCTCCAACCCATAGAACAATAAGGTGGAGTATCACGAGAATCACGCTTCCTCGTAAGCCCCAAGTCCAAGGCAATCCGTTGGACAGACGTCTCCCGGTTTCCCGCTCATATGGCGTTATCGGCCGCGTGCCGGCCCCGGCAAGCCCAAGATCAAGAGCAGCCAAAATCACCAATGGCGCCCCGACATTTGGGCTAACTACGTACGGCCAGCATGGGCGCGTCAGGCTGAGCATTTTGCTCAAAAAGAAGCCGAGACGCACAACCGCCAGTAGAGGTCCAGCATTGTAGCGCACAACCTGACCTGCTCGCAATCGGCTAATCATGAGTTTGTGCCGCAAGGCTTCCAAAGGTGTAGCAGGGGGTGGCATCAGGAGCGGGGGCGAGCTCAGAGGTTCATCTTTTAGGGAATCCACACTTTCATCTCGCTCTGGTGTCGTGCGGATAAAGCTATCCTGGCTGCGTTGGGCCACCATTACCTGCGCTTGCGGTCGTAGTCTCGGGGAGCTAGAGTCCGACTGTCTTCGTAGACCTGCCGGTATGTCCGAAGTGGGAGAGCCGCTATCTGCTGCCCGGCTCGGAATGTTGTACCCTTCCTGGGATGAGGAGAACCTCGACTGCTTCTGTGGATCTGCGACCAAGTCAGTTTGATAGATAGCGTCATCTCTAAAGAGTAATGAGCCACAAACCTGGCACGGGTGTGCTTGGCGGCATTGGGGAGTCTAGACTCTGTATTCGGCGTCCGTTGATTCCCATGGACGGACTCGAACTCCTACCTCGAGGGACGCCGTCCATGGTCGACTCCGTTTTCATAGCTGATAGAACTTCGCTCGCGCTAGGCCGCTGCAACGGGTCCAGAGCAAGAAGCTTCTTAAGAAGTTGGTACAACTTTGTCGGAAGATCTGGGCGTTCTCTGCGTTCGTCTTGGAAGCCTTGCCAATCTGTAATCTCCGCTCGTAACTCATCAATATCTTCGAGCTCTTCGTTGATGGTGTTGGCACTCCGGTATGGCAGACGACCGAAACACATAAAGTAGAGAATCATGCCAAGAGAGAAGATGTCGGACTTTGTGGTAAAATTGCCGTAACGCCCGGTCGTCAAGTCTCTCCTCAATACCTCGGGCGCGCAGTAAGAGATGGTTCCGGTGGATCCAGTCGACTTACGGACCATATTCTCAGATTGAACCTCGCCAAAGTCGCTGATCAGGCAGATTATGCCGCTACCCTCTCGATGCAGGAGACAGTTACTTGGCTTCAGGTCCCGATGAATGTAATTGGCAGCATGAAGGTATGCCAGTCCAGATGTGATGTCTTTGAAGAGCGAGTAAATCTCCTCAAATGACAGCAATCTCTGCGAGGCGAACTGGTCACGGGGCAATTCAAGCTGGCCTTTTGATTTCCGTCGCATCTGAGCTTTGAGCTGTTCCTTGGTCGTTTCCTTGGGTTGGTCCCCGATGATGTAGTTGAGCAGGTCACCACCATTACAGTATTGCTGTAGAATGAAAGCGCATGCCACGCTGGGACCGAAGCGTGTCAACTTGACGTCCTCGAGCCAGACATGACGGTAAGAGACCAAGTTTGGGTGAGAGAGCTTTGCGAGCAGCTCGACTTCGATGAGAACTGACAGGTTCAGGGTCAGCGTTTAGGACTGAACAAGAGTCGCACATGCATCCGTACCTTTTTCCAACCATGCGTGATCGTCGCCTACAGGCACGCGCTTACACGCAAAGTGACCTATCCATCATCAGTATCTCTGCCAGGCAGTCGATTGCTCGGGCTCCATACCAAGTTGACAACCATCAATTTCGTGGCGGACGAGCAGCACCACGCCCTTGCCGCCACGCCCGAGCTCCTTCTCCTCAATGAAGAAGGTTTTGAAATAATTCGGACTAAAAGCATCGCGGCGGATGCGGCTGCCCTCCTGGACAGAAGGTGTACTAGAAACGAACTCGGCGTCTTCGGCTTCCTCAATTACGGCAGCCTGCGGATGGGGTAAGCTTGGTTGCACAATGCGACGAATCGGGCTGGGCGGGGGGTGATGGTCGGCGCGAGAGTCGTGGCCGCCGGCACGGAGCATGCGAAAGTAATTCGGGTCGACAAAGGAATCATGGTGGCGGGCGCTGTCGAATTGACGTTCGGGGGAGGATGATCGCAAGGGCTGGCGGCATGTCGGGCATTCGGACAGGCCACGGATCTCGAGTCTCTGGGAGGACGGGTCACGGACTACTATAGCGTTGCGGTGCCGCCTAGAGGAAAGCACTGTCAGCAAGGTGCATTATCTGACCAAGAGGAAGCAAAATGAGGGTAGACCAACAGGACGATTTCGCGACCTTCGCGCGGGTGGTATGGGATCAGCGACATGGCCGGTCGATCTTGGTATGCTACGCTGGGGTCGTCGGACCGACAGAAAGGTCTAGATCATGGCCCAAAAGAGGGCAGCTGCGATGCTTGTTTGTTCGCCAGGCGGAGAAGTTGCTTCGGCCGGGTGTCTTATGACAGGTAAGCGGCATGGACTGCGAAGGTCGGCGTAGGCGTGTCGGAGGGAGCCGCGATGTTAGTTGAAGCTTCAAGGAGCTACAAAGGTAAGGCGAAGCTCCTGAGTGAGTCAAGACAAGGTGGTGGTCAAGGTGTCCAGGTGAGGATTCCGACTGCGTAGGTGAGGTAAGGTGAGAAAGGTTGTTTTGTTGACATTGAATGACCTCACACTGTCTAAGGAGCCACCCAAATACCCCACGTGCCCCGCCACGGAGCGTTCGAACCGCTCTGCGGGGCGCCCATGACTGCCGGGCCAGAGGAACCCACACTGTGCCACAGCCACAGCCACAGAGCATCCAAGTAACTAAGCAATCACCCTTCACCAACCCTTTCAGTAACCAACTCACCTTCATGTTTGCAATTGCTAAAACATGATCATGTTCCTGTTTGCTACACGAAACCATGGAAGTGGTCAAACATTTGATGATTTACAGTTTCAGCTAGGTGTCATGCGATTTACTTTTGCAAGACGGCAATGCCACGATGAAATTGCGCTGAGCTCATTCAGCTTCTTCAAGTTGTCGGGCAAACACACGATATCTGCAATGATGAGGTAGATGAGTCCTCTATACGTATCTGAGATCTCGCAATGCAAGATACGATGTTTTTCTGCAGCTTCTACTCGAGACATGCCAAGCTGTCATGAGAAGTATCTGTATCCCTCCCGAAGAAAATGCGACCATCTGCCGGAGTTATATCCAGCTCACCATGTCTTCCCACATAGTCCCAAGAGATCGTTTCCAACATGTACCTAATTCTCTTTCTAAAACCTCGAGACTTGTGTCACAACCCGTCGTTGTATCAATTTCTCAAGGGCCTCAGGACTTTGTCGACTAGTGAGCTTCTCCCCCCCTGCCCAGTTAACGACGATCCTCTCTAACTCCATCACCACCAACCCCCGGCACCGTGGTGAATTGACCAGGGCAGTCTCCGTCGCGGTTACACTTGCTGGGCCAGCTCGGGCCCGTCACCAGGGGTTTGAAACAAATAGAGCCTACCTACGGCTACGGATACAGCTATGGGACCACCGCGGCATATTCGCAACGGGGCGGCACGGAATTCGTATTAAATCGCACCAACGAACCCTTCACCGCGACTCAAAACATCCCCAACCTGGCAACCCCCCTCAACCCCCGGCTCAACCTTGCCCGCCGTCCACTTCCAGGCTCTGCGCAACGGCAGTGTCTCTTCACCGCCGTGCTCAATTCCCGACAACGGAAAGGAAAGCGTGGATGTGTCAACGCAAGGTCTTCATCCACCACCGTTGTGGCCACAAGATCACCGAGCTCCTCGAGCAGTGCGAGACGTTCGAGTGTCCCGGCATTATGCAAAAACCCGTCATCAGCAACCGCTATACCTGCATTGTGCGGACTTGTATGTGGTACGGCCAGTTTTGAAATGAACTGTTGTGAGAGAGTGAGTGAGACGGGAAGAGAAAATACCAGAGAGTTGGGGAGCATCTCCTGTGTAAGTGGACTGCTTCACTATATCCTGCGATATGAGCCGAAAAACGACAGGTTTCTCACAATCACGTCGACTAGTTCCAACTTTCGCATCCAGCTCGTGCAATTAGATATAACAGCGTCACAAAGCCTCATCAGCCCAACATTATACTTCTACTTAATTCCAGCTACTAAAAGTCAACCCCTACCTCAACGTCCAATCCGAGTCCCATCCGTGCCTTGCATTAGCGACGTGCATCTCTAGTAGCGTCTTTTCAACACTAAAGCGATCCATCGCGCAAGTTTGTCTGATGGTCTAGGTCAAATACGGCAGCTCAACATCGGTTAGACATTAAAAAGGCCTGCCTCGTCGCTTCAAATGACCGTTTGGAAGTGAATGAGAGGCATCATCTATTCACAATTTTGAGCAATGTTGATAGTTTAAACCAATTAAACTCCGAAAAGAGAGAGCGCTCTCTTCCCGATGGGTATCATATATGTCCAGTTCTGCCTAGCTCCTGTGGTATTTAACCCCTTCCCGGCTTTTCAATCACCTGAACACTCCTTTGCGCCCTCAAAATACAAGAAACACACTGTACAAACTGAAGAACCAATCGTAAAATCAAAAGGTATCAGAAACGCCACCAATCAAGTGATAAAGACGACCAACGTGCCCGCACGCCAAGTGGGAAAAGGCCACCTCGCCGATGAGAGACATATCGTTCACGAGCGAAAAAGCCCTAGTGAATATCGCGATCATGCAAAATCTGCCACTTGCGATGACACAAATTAATATGCGCTCTCAAGGCGTCTGCCGACTCGTAGTTATCCGTCGTCCCCGTCGGCACACATAAACAGCACGCAAACATGTTCCTGTCCGAGTGCGACTTGGCCAGGAACCGGCTCGACATGCGGAAGCCGTCCTTGAGAACAATGTAGTCCTTGTTGCCGGGCAGCAGCGGGTTCCATCGGTACCCGCACTTGCACCGCTTCGGCGCGTCGGGGATCGGCTTCGAGAGGTCGACCTGGAGCGTCATGGCCTCTGGGCAGAACATGCTGAAGACGCTGACTTTGGGGCGGAGGAAGGCAGAGGCGGTAGTGCTGGTCGTGTCTGCTTCCGAGGGCGCGAAGATGGAGACGGCGTCGCTGGCGATGGCTTTTGGTGTTGGCGGTGTTGGTGGAGGCGAGGGCGGTTCTGATTGGAAGGGTGCCTGGTCGGTGCTGATGGTCATGGTCATCGACATGTCGTCGTCTTCCTCCTCCTCCTCTTCATCTTCGTCGTCGTCATCTTCGTCTTGAGAGATGATGCTGTGGTTGTTGGTTGACGAGCTAGTCGAGTATTGCGAGATGGGCCTCGTATGCCGCGAGCGGGGCTTTGAGATGGGAAGGTGCTCGGGGATGTCTGGGCGTCCGGCGGCGAGACGGTGATATAAGGCACCGAGGGCCTGGACTGAGGCGATTCTGACAGACTCGGATGTCTGTATGATATCTGAGATGTTGAGAATGCCGGTCAAGCTCGAGTCAGAAGAGACCCTGCGTAGGTGAGAAACCCGACTACTGAGGTTGAACAGCTGGTTGGAAAGCATATCCCGGCATGGTGCTGTTGAAGCTGTTAGCGTGGCTGCAGACAGATGGAAACGGGTTGCGACGTCGATGGGGTGGAAACTCACTATCGCCGGTGGAGAAGTCGGTTCCAATAAGAACAGTCGCAATGTCATAAGTCTCCTCGATCTGATTCCTCGCAAGCTCCAACGAGATGCTCAAAGCACATGTAATGACGTCCCTTCGAATACCGGATTCTGATGATTTCCGACAGTAGTGGTTTCCAAGTGTGCGTTTCCTCTTCCATTGGATGTAATGCTCGGTGCCCTCGGCGTATAACTCTTTGAGAGACGACACAGCCTCATCGACTGTAGTTGCCTCCATTGTTGACCTGTTACTTTGATGGCATGATGGACTGGCGCCGAGAGTAGGTAGGATTTACGTGAAGGAACTAACTTAGTGTTGAAGGGAGTAGAAGTGACGAGAGGGAGAGAGAGGATCGTCTGGGAGGGAAGGGATTAAGAACGGCAGCCAACGGAAACCGGATCGGGAAAAGCAATGTTGGCGGGTGGCCGGCAATCAGCTGAATGGATGACCAGGGCGAGCTGAAGCCTGAAGCCTGAAGCCTAAAGGAAGGGAGGACGGGAGAGTTTTGAGACCGGTGGGAAATGGCAAACAGAGTGCTTATCGGCAGATGGGGGGAACACGACTCAGAACAAGCTTCAAAGCGAGACAACAGATCGAGGAGTAGGTTACCAACAGGTTGGGGCCAAACGGGCGTGCGTGTGTATCTGTTGATGAAGTGGGTTTTCTGGTTTCTTTGATGCTTTGACCCTCGAAGTATTCATAGGCAAGGAAGGTATGGAGACCGGATACATCATACAGCGTACGGAGTTGGTAGGGAACAAGAGTCTAGAGGGTGTGCTCGGGCTTCTTGGATCGACAGGAAAGCCAGGGAGGAAATGGGGGGGAGATAGATCGGGCGTGGAGCTACGGACACTAGAGCAGAGCAGATGGGCGGGCAAACTTTTTGAGCCAATGTGGCGTTGGCGGGCGTTGAGTTGGTGGACGCCAGGACGCCAATCTCACGACTCGAGGTGCAAGTCGTCCGAACGGGCGCACGGGAACTCGAGGGGGGCGGGTAGCCGACATGACATGAGGCATGGGACGGCGTTGGCGACCTAGGCGTACGGAGTACTGCGTAGAAGACGGAGTAGACGGGGGGGTCAATGGGCATGGTCCATGGGCAAGGGACATGCAATGCCTGTCAAGTCGAGTTTGGCCAGAGAGTCATGTGCGACGATCTTTTGGATGTGATTCTCGTCTCATCCCGCCGTCAGCCGGCGGATGGTGTGCATGCTGACGATGCTGCTGCAGCTGAGGTTTGGTTTGGTTTTCTTGGGGTCCTTCTTCTGGGGGTTGGTACTTGTTTTGGGGGTCGCAAATGAACGGAGAAAGAATCGAGAAGGGTGAGAGAGTGTTTGCTTTTGCTCGGAAGGGACCGGTAGAGTTTTCCATGTTGGCAGCTCGCTAATGAGTAAAACATACGGTCAAGTGAGTACTGTTAGTAAGAATAGGTAAAACAAGAGGAAATACCCCCGGGACGACTTGCTGTGCCAGGAACAGAGATGGCCAGGGATGAATGCAGGGCAAGGCAGGCTGGGGCCATGGGAGCATGGGACCAGGCCAAAGTCGCCAAACAAAAGTCGCTTCTATTCGTTGGGATAATACTATGCCACCGTATTGAAGGCGAGGCGAGTCGAGGCGAGTCGGAGGATCCCACGCGTGCGGTTCCAATTGGCAATCCGTTGCTGTTGGTGCTGGTGCTGTTGCTGTGCCTGCCGGTGACTTCAAACAAACCACCCAATCCTTGATTCCGTGATGACAAGGTTAAGGTAAATGTGACAAGACAGAGAGAGAGAGAGACTGAGAGTTGGGAGTTTCGTCCGAATGACGACGACGTGACCGGGGTCCCGCCCATCCCGCAAAGAAGTCAAGAGTTCAGACGTGTCATTCGCGTCAAAGAAAGATGGGCTCAGATGGCACCGATGGCACCTTGGGGATCCAATGCGACCGCGCCGTCTGTGCTCAAGCTCAGGGTGGACACGCCGCACTTTGCACCATACTATGTACACAGTTATAATGATGGCACATGGATCCTGACACCCATCAATCTATCAAACGGTCAGCAACCTTGCACCTTGTCCGGTTCGCAGAAACTCGACGGGAAATCCACGGCCAGTCCGGTTCAGTCCGATTCAGTTCTGTCTGCTGTCTGGTAATGTCCCTGTCATTATTGACTGTTGACTGTCCTGAGGCAATATAGAGACACGAAAGAGAGTGATTGAGTGGGAAATGAGTCCATTGAAGAAAGGCTGAAGAGGAAATTAGCGTGCTGACTGGGCGGGCGCTACGCTTCCCAACTCCTACCTCAGTTCGGAGTACTTAGGTACTTACTAAAGGTAGAGCAGCCTCTAGGTACGTACTCGCCTAACGCCGTCCACCGTCGGTCCATCCGGCGAGCCGGCCCCGAGCTGTGGGCCCCCGTCCTCGGTCTCCCGACATGGCGATTGGCCCACCACCGCAAGCCATCGCTAAAAGGTACTTTTGGATAGGTATCTCAGCCAAAGGGTCTCTCTACCTTAGCCTCTCGAGGCTTCCATTGGATCCTCCGCTGCGATCCTTCATCCTCTAAGCCGTCAACTCATTATCATCCAAGCCGCAAAGACAACCCGAGACAGGCACACGCTCCACGTCACATGCTAGCCCTTCAACATCACTGTCGTCCCGTCCGCATCGGACCGCCAAGCATCGTGGCACTTCTCCCCTAAAGCTGCTTAAAGACAGCTAGCG